TATGTTAATTGTGGAGAATTGGGTGTTAGGGTGCATGTTTAGAGAACCTCATTGAATCTTGTGATTTTTGTGCAATTGATTGAGGGGAATGCATGGAGTGTGTTTGAATTGTGTTGGGCAATGTCCCCCTTGATTGTTTGAGCCCTTGTGTGCAAGAATTTTGCCAATTTCATGCTTAACTTAATCGTGCACACAAGGTGTTCAATGAAATGCCTGTTTTTCATGCCATGTTGTGGCCACCGGTTGGGGCCCTTAATGATGTGCTTTGAGGGTGTATTTTCTATGGATGTGAACCTTAAGTTGCCCACTTTATCGTGAATGTGCACCCCCACTCAGATTATGCTTGATTTATCGAGTTTTTGACCCCCGAACTATGGATGAAACCATGGTTAGGCTGTTTTCTGTTCTTAAGTGTGGGGGTGTGATTGACCTTTTCTTTGGCTCTTTTGGTTCCACTTTGGGTTGTTCTTTTGCAGGACAATGTCGAAACCTGACCTCAAGCACCCGTTTATCCGGGATTTGAAGAGGGCCCCCGAAGAGGATCGCTTCAAGTAGGTCCTGGCATGCTCGTTTGGGCAGCACCATTGCTGGTCCAAACGGGAGTTTCGGAAATTGAACTGCTACGAGCAACTCTCCGCCGCCGTCACCAACCGCCCATGGCGCCGTCTGCTCTCCATCTGCGAGAAGGTTTACTACGAGCCCGTGCTGGAGTTCTACACGACCTTCAAGCACGCACCCACGGAGGATTGGAGAGACGGTGCAGCCATCAAATTCAGGCTAGGCGGTGCCCCCCGGTCCATGAGCTACCACGAGCTGGCCGAGGCTCTCGACCTCGGCCTAGACGACGGTGAGGACTACGTCACTGAGGTCAGCAACCCGCCGGAGGTGGACTTCAGGACGCTGTACACTCGCCTGGCTCGGCCAGGCCAGCACCGTCCCTTCTCGGCCGGGAGGACGAAGGCCACTACCCTGCAGCTCGACAACCGCCTTCTCCACCCCCTGCTGGCGAAGTCTTACACCCAAGCTTCAGACAGTGCCAGCGCCATCACCAAGAGGCCATGTACCTCATCCAATCGATCCGCCAGCACGACCATCCCCTCCACTTGGGTTCGGTGGTGGCCAGGACCTTCGAGAAGACTGCTTCGGAACTGAAGAGCCTCCACTGCACCCCCCTCATCACCCGCCTGGCCACCTACTTCGGCCTTTCACTGCAAGGGTGCACACAGAGGGGGGACACCAGCGTCTTTGGCAGGAAGACGATCAGTCACATGCACCTGCTGCGAGAGAACCGCGGCATTCTATGGATCTAGGGGTTTCCGGAACCTCAGATCCCCGCGGAGGACCAGCCAGAGGCCCAGCCAGAGGTCCAGCCATAGGGCCAGGAGGAGGAGGCTGTTGATCATGTGGAGCCCGAGGAGGTGGATGTTGATGCTGCCCCCCTCCCCACCACCTTCGAGTACGGGGGTGGCAGTTCCGCTTTCCCCGGGCAGGACTACTTCACCTACCAGTTCGAGCAGCTGCGTCTCCAGAACTAGTAGATCCTTGACCAGAAGCTCCAGTTCCAGCAGCAGTACGCGGCTCACCAGGCCGAGTACCATGGCTGCTTATGATGAGCGTCTGGACATGCTCCAGACCCAGCAGGGAGTGACTCTTGCACACATCGAGCGGGAGAAGCGCCGTTCACGGCGCATGCAGGAGGTCCAGCAGCACCTGCTCCATCTGTTACGGGGCGAGCAGCCCGTCTAGAGGACTCCCTGGGAGGACTCTCCACTTCCACCTCCCCCAGCGGATGGTGATAATGGTGCTGATGGTGATGACGCCTTCATGGACGACATCAACCTGGATAACCTTGGCGACGAGTAGGCTGTACTCGTTGCCCATCTCAGTGTGTTTTTTCGTTTTAGACTTTTGTGTGTTTGCTCCATGTGTGAGGAGCTTGAACTTAGCGTCGTTTGTTTTTGTTTTTGGTTTTCTTTTGTGGATTGTTTATGTTGTAGCCGTCTGGGCTAACACTTATCCCTAACGCACATTGTGCTAGTGTGTTCTTGGTGTTCGATTCGTGCAGAACTGTCCATCTTCCCGTTTTTTTCTCGCTGACTGGTCCACTTCCAGTCCCCCAGCAGTATTTCAATCCGGTAAAATCGTTCCCCTTATCTCTCCCTCTACTCCATGGAGGGCAATGTCGTGCTTAAGTGTGGGGGGTGCTTTGTATCGGTTGGAATCCTTATTTGTGTGCTTGGAGCCTAGTCCGCTGTCCGAATCTTACGATTTGAGGGCTCCAACTACTGCTGTTTGATCATATTGGCACTCTGTTTTGATTGATGAATTGAATGGTTTTCGGATTGATGCATGACAGCTTGATTGTGACTAGTGTAGACACCACTTTTCGTCCGGGTTAAAATACAATTTTATTAAATAAACTTAATTGCATAAAGTTGGCAATAGCAACTCTTAAACAATCTTCTAAATAAAATCTTCTAACTAAAAGCATATTTGTAATGTTAAAAGCGTATTTGTAATGTTTGGGATGAATCAAGTCGATTGAGACAACCTAATTTTAAGCAGTTTGCTTGGTTTTGTTGCCTTTAGGTTGACGATTAAATTATGTACATAGACAGTTTGGCTTTTGATTAGATTGAGCTATAGACAATAAGAGAAAAAATGAATTAAAAAAAACAATTATATTAGAACAACTACAATTGAATTTGATTAGAACTATAAATTATAATTACAAAAATATGACATAATAATCTAAATAACTATTACACAACAAAATTTAGAAATAAATAAGTCAACTTGGTCAAGTCAGTCAACATGAGTCAAAACCGGTCAACCAAAGTCAACCTAGTGAGCTCTGACCCAACCAGACTAGTTGAAACCAAAACCACAACTGATACTGTAGCCTTCTTGCACCCCAAGCAGCAATTTGCTATAAAAAGAGCTCCTTTGCACCTACATGAGGGGAGGTTTTTGGGAGAGAAAAACTCTCGGCTCTTCTTCTTCCTCTTCCCTAAGGACTCGGCTTCCTTTCTTCTCCTCTTCTTTCATAGATAGACCACCAAAAAAACTTGGAAAGAAACAGGGGAACAGACAACAACATCTTCCTCTTTCCTTCTTCCTCACCACGAGAACAAAAAAGGGACAGCTTATTTCTCCCCGGGGAAGACTCCCTCTCTTTTCTTCTCCTCTTTTGGTTCTTCATCTTCCTACTCCCCCCTGAAACACACAGACAGACGAGAGAAAAGGAAAAAATCCCCAACATACTTCCTTCCTTCTTCTTCCTCCCCTCCTAAAGCAACATACACATAAACAAAAACAAAAACTCCTCACCACTTCATCCTTTTCTGATCCAAAAACACAGCAGGCAACTCTGCAAAACTTGCCACTTCCTTCCTTTCTAAACACAGACCAAACCGTAGCCACTAAAACTAATTTCCCCTTCCCTTCTTCCTCTTTAGCCATAATAATCCAATACAAAAAAACACAACAGATAAACCCTGCAAAACTTCCACTGCCTCTTCTAAAAGCATACTCACCATTCCAAAGAAAACCCCACAGCCATACACAGTGAAGGGAATACACAGAAAGGACTTTCCCACATCTTATCCTTCTTCCCAAACACACCAAATATAACAAAAACAAAGAAGGAAAGAGTCATCAACAAGAAACAGTAAAGGCAACAGCAAGGATGCTAAAAGAAAAGGCAGAGTCAACAACAAACATCCTAGCACTGCCGCCAACACCATCAAAAGAAACCCAAGAAGGAGGCGACAAAAATAGTTCAGAATCGTCATCAACCTACAAGTAGAAAGGTTGGTTGCCACCCAAAACCGACCACTGTCGTCATCCGCATCATTAATCATTTTGTTTTAAGTTCTTTTCAAAATCAAAACTCAAGCAACCCCAATCAAGTAACCATCTGGCCTTAATAAATCTTAAAAAGCATCATACTCGATCCATTAAATTTCACTATATTGGCGAAGCAATCAATAAAATCAGATTTGTCGCTTTGCTCTCTACTTTTTGTCTAATCTATTTCATCTTGTCATTCCCATGCTTCAGTAATCAGTATATAACAAGCAAAAGCTAGATTTGTATTGTTTAGCTTTGTTTCTTCTTCTCGACTTTGCTTATTCCACCACATATATAACACATACTAAGCTAAAAATCCCTACCATGAGCTACCAAAAACATACATGGAAGTCAGTTGTATACCAAAACACCAAATTTTGTGTCCATTCAAACCAGATTTCCCAAAAACCCAGAATTCAAAAACTTAAAACCTAGATCAAACCAATAACTAGTATCGTTACTAAATGCTCATCCCAAACAGTAGCCACAAACCATACCCAATCACCACAATACATAATTCCACCATCAAAGCAGAACCATTTCCTCGAATCCACATCGTTCACCCACAACTTCCAGTTTCAACACAATCTCAATCGAACTCCCAGATTCAGCAAACCACATATTTCACCCATCACAAACTCAAAGAATCCAAATTTGACACTACAGCAATGAAAGACGAAGTAACCACAAGCAATAGCAGTGTTTATGGTCTTTTAACAGTTAATTTTCCACTTTGTTCATTTTGTAAAATTCTGGAACTTGAACCAAAATTTTGAGTTTTCTTTATGGTTCTAAGTCCCACACACTAGTTCTAAACACAACTTTCACAATCATAAATCGAATATCAAACACTAAATCAAGCGTACTATCGTAAACCATCAACGATTACCCAATCAAGAAGCCAGCAAATCAATACCAGCAATCAAGTAAAACTCTAAATCATCAACACTGAATTTAAATCAAACCATAGTTGAATCGATAGCCAATCTATTCTAGTTCTCGAACCTGCAAAAGGGAAGTTAATTTAGAATCCACCAAGCAAACAAGATAATCCAAAAATGAAATACAACTTACCAGGTCATGTCTGCCTCCGCTACATCAGCCGCCGGCGACGCCGCCAGTGCTCGCCGGCAGTGACCTCACTTTCTCCTCAGTTCGCTTTTCCTCGTCCCTTCCTTGCAATAAAAGAAACCAGAAAAATCAATCGGAACCTACAATACCCTATAAACAAAACCGAACCTCCAAATACGAAATGCAAGCAAAAAAACCCTCTTACCCTCACCGTCGGTGATACCCAGAACCGCCGCCGTGTCCATCGCCGGTAAGTCTTTCGCCGGCCGCGACCACGTGCTCCTTTCCCTCGATCGAGAACAAAACCCAAGACCCAAATCGAAATCAAATCACAATTGGAAAACCCCCTAAATCGACATGCATAAGAAAACCGATCTTACCTCTGCCGCCGTCGATCTTCATCACGGCGTACACCGCCGTACTCCCTTCGCCTCCGCCGTCGCTTCTTTCTCTCGGTCTCCGCGTCGTATCTAGAGAAGAAGAAGAGAGATTTGAGTGGAAGAAGATTTGAGCAGAAAGATGAAAGAAAAGAGGCAGACCGAAAAAAAGGTTTCTTTTCCTTCTTTCTGTTCGCCAGACAGAGAGCAAAATCGGGTAGAAAATAGCGGCTAGGGTTATGGGCCGTTTACTTGTCATTCTATTTCTGTTAGCTGCCACAACAGAAAACAAAATTAAAATGAAAACGAAGCTGTCATTTCCTGGAAAACAAAACCTGAAAAAACCTTGTTTAGCTGAGAATTTTGGTGAGTTCTGAAACTGAGTTCTGAAAATGAAAACCTGTTTAGTTGCTTCATTCTGTTTTTGATTCTTGATTATCATACAACCCTAGCCATGATTATAATTTTTAATTCGAAATGAGGCATGTGCTTCAAAATGGGAATCTAGCCTTCAAAACTCCAAAACAACGCTCGATAACATTGCGTAGAGATGAATAATAATAATTAAAAAGTTGTTAGCTCTTTTCTACCCCTAATAAAGTATTTATTAAATGCGTTGGATTCTCCATATATACGGGACACATAAATTGCTTGTTATATATCAAACTCAAACACACTCATTCACTCAAAGTTTATCGAAAGTATTAGGAAAAATATATTTTTTTTTCATAAAAACACTCCTTAATTAATTACTAATTTCCTAATTAATATTTTCTATTGGTCCTCCGCGTCCCCGACGCCAGCTCCCGCCTCTTCGAAACAACCACGCGCGGCCGCTGCCCCTTCCTCCTGCTCTGCCTCTTCCTCTTCGTCTCGCTCTCCATCTTCCTCTCCCTCTCCCCGAACCAACTCCTCCTCCGCACCTTCGATTACTCCCCCGCAACCGCCACCGCCGGCCCCACCGTCGTCGTCGTCGCCCGCCCCAACCTCTCCGCTTTCCCTTCCAACAGCGCCATCTGCGAGGTCACCATTGGTTGTCTTTAGAGATTTTAACGAACTTGTGAGGATGATGGTGTAGGAATGCTTCAAGGAACTGTCGCTGCCGATGAAATTGTCGTCCTGGATCTGGAATCGTTTCTCCTTCTCCCCGAGAGCATTGAAGGCCTTGACGTGCGTCGGCGGGAAGAGGGAGAATCTTTGCACCAGACTTTTGGGGTCATTTTCGCGTTCGGCGACTGGCGGGAAGAGGAAGAAGATTGGTCGGGTCTTCTTCGTGTTCGGCGGCGGGGAGAGGAAGAAGGGAGGAACGACTGCTCGTTTGCTGGAGAATGAAGGGAAGATCGGCTGTAGAGATATACAACCTTAAGAGCTGCGTTTGGGTCTAGCAAAAGAAAAATGAGAAAAAGGGGTTGGGCGGATTCGAACAGGGGATCTCATTTAACAACAGTGTCATTTTCCCCCTGGGAATCGCGGGGAAACCCTTCCCTCAATTTTCAGGAAACCTCTTTTTATCGTTTTCTCCCAACTATCTCAATATTGTCCCACCGTTTTCTCTAACAAAAACTAAACTACAAGTGAACACGTTTTTTTTATTTGTTTCCTGATTTTTATTGTCACAACAAAAAACAAAAAACAAAATGACAAGTGAACAGGGCATTAGGTGTCTGCTAAAATGGGTTCGTATTACCGATCATCATTTTTTCGCGTCGCCACTGACCTCTCCTTCGGAAAAGAAAGACAAAAAATAAAAGTCTATTCCGTTATTCGAACCACTGACCAAAGCGTTTTTCATAAAAACGCATCGATAATTTGTGCCACTAGGCTGGAAGCCCACAATTTGGTCACATGTAAACTTCAATCGATGAAATATTGATTAATTTGTATACTTAACTTAAAAATATCCTTAATGCGGAATGTCAGATGGTCAATAGACCATGCTTGCATTCTCGTATTAAATCTCAAATCTGATTTCCAAAGGTTCTAAAATGTGTTTCAACTTTCCAATATCAAACCTTAACACATACCAATAAGACGTATAGGGTTCCATTTTACTAAAATCTTTTCTCATAAAGTGAACTACGTGGACTTTGATCCCGACTACTCGGGTACGTAGGCAACCAATAGGTTCGAGTCCAACTAACAAATTTTCTCCACATTCCTAATGTGTGAGACTCAACATTTAAAACTCATAAAAAATCGAACTACGTGGACTTTGATCCCGACTACTCGGGTACGTAGGCAATCAATAGGTTCGAGTCCAACTAACCAAAAAATCTTTCTTTAATTTTGAGAATTACGTCAATAGGCGTATGATCAAATATTAACAACTATCTAATTAATCAAATCATAAAATTAAATACATTAATAAAGCCGCAAATAATAATACACCCAACCCTTAAAAACTTATCGATTTAAGTAGTACCCATATGGGGCGTTGTGGGGTGTGAATACACTTCCCGACCCGCAACTGTACTCCCGAACCTAAAAAATCTAAAACTTTCGCAGACCAGATTTCTGGTTTTAACCTAAATAATAAAACCGGAAAGGGTGTTCGATCCACCACAATTAAGATCGATGGCGACTCCGAGCGTGACGCGACGGATCCCCGATCTCAGAGGGGCGGTTGTGACAGTGGCGACTCCGCTGGGGACTTTCTAGGGTCGAGCTACATAAACTAAATCGATAAGTTTTCCTTACCTTCTTTTTGGGTGTTTAATTTATTTATTTGCGTATCTAAATTACCGCAGATTTAATTATTTACGTTCATGCATAAAGCTTTATACCCGAGCTCTCCCTTAAGAAAATGAAAGGTGTATCGTGACTCTTACAATAGTAGGAGTCATGCGAAACTTTCTAACCAAGTTGAACTCAAATCCGAGGTTGATTTGAGATATTCGGCTAGCTCGAAAAAGCTATAGACGAATACAACTTGGGAACCAATATCTTAGAACTCCTTACCCAGCATATAGTCAACTTAGATGCCACCCTAAATTATCCAAAATGAATTCCCAAGCCACCATTAACTTCATCGTTAAACCTTCAAACAACCCTAGGTTCATCTAAATGGGGTAATGTTTGTTTTTATATATGCGTGCTTATGACATGATGAATTGTGCTTTATCGGTTATTCATAATTGACGTAATATCAATAAAAAATTTTAACTCGTGATTATCATTCTCCATTCATTTCATTATACTATCGATCATGAAGGTAATTTTACCAACATTCATGCACTAACTAAAAATTCATCTTGCATATGCACAGTCATATCATTTAGCATGACTATCATACATCCATCACATTTAGCACCATGAAACAACTTAACAAAATCAAGATTCTCTAAAATTGATCATTCACAAGGACAAAGCCAGACCCTCAATTACTCGACCAGATCCAAAGTTGAGCTCGTTATGGATTCAATCGAAAAGGAATTGAGCGACATTAAAAGAAGGGTGATAGCACTCGAGGACATGAAAGAGGATGTTAGCATGATCTTGAAGATGTTGACAAACAAGGAGTGTAACACCCTACCCGGTACGTATTACCTAATCATATTGTTCATACAATTGCAGCGGAAATAATCTCGGGTGTTACATTAATTACCCAAATTTACCCAAATAAAATTTCGACATGAATTACTCGCGTAATGGGCTAACAGTTCTTCCATCTGATCCTGCAAAATAATTCATCACAAACATATATATTCACAACCATAGGCATTGGCTTTTCTTAGCCATAGCCACACTTTTCATACTCCACAACTGCATACCATACTTATACATACCATAATCGTCACAACTTACACAGTTACACAACATATACACATATCATCAACTTTCCACACCTGTGGATATCTCACACTACATCAGAAGCTAATATGCACATGAAAAACGTTCTCAAAACATTTTTTACAAAAAGGTGTGGATCACTGGCCAAAATCCCGAGTAGTAGTCCAAGCACAGAATAGTTGAAGACCATACATCATCTTGCCTTCAACTCTTGCTCAGCTCCCACCTATACACCTATCTACTGCTGATGATGATGATCTGCTTACACATGGCATAAGCAGAGAAAAAGGATAAAGAGGGTCAGCTCATAGCTGAGTGAGATAATCATAGCATCGTGAGTTCATAACATAGCATACCCCTATCATACATCTAAAAATCAAGCCAAAACACTAGGATCAGACCTCAGCCATCCGACATCCCAATAGGCAAAAGACTCAACCACCTTGACTTATGCATATGCATCTTTTCATGTTTTAATCATAGGCGCCTGGCTACTCCCATGCTATTAACTCTCCCGGGAAACATACCCCACATCCCGTAGGATGTAGTCATACATACCCCAACATCCCGTCGGATGTGGTCATACATACCCCACACCACTATGGGTGTAGTCATACCCCGACACCGCTCTGGGTGTGGTCATATCTCGTAAGAAATCTTCAGTCACCACCACATGAGAGGTGTGACTATCATACATATCATAATAGAGTAATAGCATAGGGAGCCCTAATTACTATGTAGTTGACCGTGAGACCACAACACTCATATTTGGTATCCTTATACATGATTCATATCTCATCTTGCTTAATCATAATTCGTTACTTGCACATGTACTTGACCTGGCCATAATTGGCTCAACATAGGTAAATCAGGAGTCGTATAATTGCACTTCCTCGGGATAAACCCTCGTGCAAGTCATCCTCCTTAAACATCATAATATCACCAGGGAATATATATTTTCCCACATATGTATCCAAATACAACAATCATGAAAAATCATACACAATCACCTTCTCGAACCATCATAAAGCATATTAACAGTCTAGCCCACAATTTGTAACATATACACAATCATCAGCATAAACAAGGTCCATATCAATTAGGGCAAGTCAATAATATCATACAGCAGTCCAGGGTTCAACATATAGCACAAAAGTTCATACACCCCTAATCATGCCATTCTAGTTCACCTAGATCAATTCTAGGCATCAATATAATTATCGTGATACGACAAACCCGGTATGCCGTGGTAATCCCTCACCAGTTCTGGTCGTTCAAACACCGGTTTAAGCTTCCCGTACTAAAACGTCAATTTCACGAACGAACCCCGAATTAAAATCCGAGACCGCCCTAATATCCCCTGCAGTATCCCCGTCAATATTAGTTCTAGGCTCCGGGTCAAATTCTTGATAAAAGCACATCAAACCCTGGCCAGAGCTAAATTCAGCGATTTGGACCCCGACCTAAATAATTGCCGAAATTCAG